ATTCATTTGTTAGAAAATTTAAAGTTATTTTTGCTACATATTTCCTTATTTCACGGATTTAATAACGAAACTAATACCTCCTAACGGTTTACCGCCTCATCGTGGGTGGAAAGTGTTCCTGGGTGTCGGAATGCGATGTACAGCGAGGGATTAGTCTTCTGGTAGGGTCACCCAAGCTAAGAAGAAGTCCAGCTTTTCCATCAGGAAGCCTAGCTAAGAGTAAACCAACACCAGGATCACTACCTTCCTGGTATCAAAGTCGCATGGTGGCGATTCTCTCTATGTTCCACAAAGGCTGCGACTGTACGTGGTGGTGAAGACCTGGGCAGACTTTGGCCAGACTGTCCTCGGAATTCCAAGGAACCACAAAACAATGACTTAACCAGCAAATCTCCGAAAATTGGGGATTATGCTGGGGCTCGCACAACCAGCGAGGATGGGTCGTTTATGTATCGAGTAAGTAAGTAATAACGAAATTATTTGTGTCATAAATGTGCTTCTTAATCGTTCAATCCTTTAAATCGTTGATTTTACCTTTACTAACTTACAGTAACCGTAAAGTGTAAGACGATTAAGAACTGCTGAAAAAATGAAAGTGGACAGTGGAATAAAAAAGTTGTGAAAAGGCGAAGCATCAGGATTTTTAGTGTTCATCATTGAATTCTTAATTATGGGTTTGAAAAGCGTCTACATGGTGGATTTTTTTTATTCCGTCTAGCTTTCTATTGAGAAGTCTGCCACCATGTTTTTACCTCGGGTTCTCAATTTTATTCACTAGTTTCAGAAAACAGGTTAAATAGAAATACCATATGCCAAATACCATACCAAGCATCAAATAGAAAAGAAATTGGAAACGTCTGCTGTCTTCAACCTTACGCTTCCTCTTCAGAAGAAAAAGCGACTCTTCACTTATTGTTTTTCCTACAGTAATAGAAATTATGTCATCATCTAATAATTGCTTGTTCAACTAAAGTGGCTATCGTAACAATATCGAACGACAAGCCACTTAACACTCTGGTGACGATGACCGCCGATCGTCCGTCGAAAACGAACTGAATGAAGATGATGGCCGTCAGCAGTACATCTCACCATCTACACTCATTATCAGAGAAACTCTTATGGCACACGAAAAACGCCAGCTAACAATGGGTGTCAAGTAGTTGTTGATTGACGCAATACGTTGACGTCATCATTGCAAGCACGTCTTATACAAACATAACTGGTATCAAAACATATGTTAATTAGGATATTCGGGTGCTCACAGATTATTAATCTTGATTTTTTTGAGTTATGATTCATCTCTTTTCACGAACGCCTTTCATAGCGTTCCAATGGCTCTTGTAATACAGAAAACTAACTAAGGCGAAAAAAAGTGCTGTGCCAGTAATGATAAAGTGAACCAGTTAAATTAGAGCAGGTAACGATTTTATTTAAGGACATCATAAATCGTATTATCCATAAGAAGTCAATCGATTCAATGATAGCCAAATCGTAGTTCAGTTAAGATCTTAAACCATCTTTCAAACCCTTAGCTACTTGTAGGTTTTTTGGAGTCAAATGCTGCTAAATTTGGAGCTGATCTTTACTAAATGTCATCCATTGATCGTTATAGGTCAACGCTCAACGTTGTCTATAAAAATTACAGTATCGCAGATTGGCGTGGTCATATTTCATCTACTGTAGCATTTTTAATCTACGATACGGTGTTTAACACTATCCTATCCTACATGCCTCTTGATTTCCAGATAAGAATTTCATAAAGTGTTATGTTGCTAAAAGTCCTTTTATCAGTAATTCTGATCTTCTACTACATACATCCTACTATTCACTGACTAGGAGCGGTCCGTGATTGCCAACATGTGAACTATAGCTGAACAAAAAGTCACGCAACCAATAAGACCTTTCTGAGCTGTGGACGAGTTTGATATTTGAAATCTCAGCTGAAACAAAAGCAATGCTATATCATGGCGCTCAATACGCTATCTACGGACGTCTTTTAGTCCAAAGAAGCTGTGAAATACTCTTAGTAGCTAATAATGCCTTATTTTGCTTTCACTTGAATCAATTAAACTGAAAAGGCATGGAATTCCGTGGAAATACTGCAGATTTAAAGCGTTCAGATATCTTCAATGATGCTGAGATATTTGCAAAACTCCGGACCGCAGGCGTATGCGGTGGAAAACGAACGCGTTATTGTCCTTTCAAGGGAGTAACGCGTTCACCGCCACACCATGCGGGTCATTCGTTTCGCCTGTCTCTCAGCTAGTTCTATCGATCTTTGCCATAGCAAACACCTGGCAGCGGAATTGATCTGGGGGGCCCAAATCGGCAACGAACCCAGTTACGCTGAGGCTGTAGTTATAATCACAATTTTAACCTATTATTTACTCCCTACTCTTTTTTAATAGCAGAAAGGACAATAGCACGTTTGTTCACCACCGCATACACCTGTGGTCCGGAGTTTTGCAAATATTTTAGCGTCAGTGAAGTTATATTTCGCAATATACCCTGCCATTAGAAAGGAGTAGGCAGTAAATAATAAGTTAAAATCGTTCAGATATCGTTTTATTCATTTTGGAAGTTTTTAAATATTTATTTTTTCAGATATTTATTCTAGAAACCTTCAATTCTCTTCTGAAATGATGAGTGGAGAACGGTGAAGGTGATGATGACAAGGTGAGTAAGGTTCGAAATCCGTTCTTATACGTTGAGCAAACAAACGTGGTTACACAGTAATGTTGACGAATGGTGTTAATGACTAATAGAAGTGAGATAGTGGTGGTGGTGGTGGTGGAGGAGGTGTTGGAGACAGAGGAGGAGGAAGATGAGTAAGAGAAGATGATGGTGGCGGTTGACGATGGTGGTGTTAATTCGACAACGATGACCGTCTAATCCACCACAAATAAACTTCATTAATCAACTGTCGTATACGATTCGAGCCTTAACCTTAGCACTACAGTTAAAGGACTACAGGAATGTGCAGAATGCATTCAATGCGTCTGAGAACGAAAGATTAACAATGAAAGATATCGAAACATCTTTAAGTATTGTCATCTAAATGCGGAAAAAGAGCCAACTTAGGTTTTTTCCTCATCGGCATCGTCTGTTTAACGCTCTTCTCTGTATGGGTTGTGCTCTGATAGTCCAGATCACGGCCTATTCCGTTACTAGTTGTGGTTGCTCTTATATAAGAAATATATGCATAGTGTGTGCATGAAAAGTCATGATAATGGTTTTAGTAATTAATAGTAATGTTAGGAAGTAAAGGTGGTATTCTTCAATTGGAAGCAGTGGTGAAAATGAAGGAGCGGAAGAAAAAACTTAAATGGAGACTATGGGTGCTAGATTTAGACGGATGCTGGTATGAATCCTGCAGGAAGCTGCTAAAATCTTTATAATATGTCCAAAACTTCAAAACATATACACATAATACAAAAAAGTGCCCAAAATTCCAGCGGTCGTAGGAGAGATAGACTTAGCACTCAGTCTTTTACTCTTAGATTGGATTCGCTAACAAGCCGCTCTCTCGTGTTTTCGTCTGCTCACTTAATTTTTAATTTAATCCTAGAAGAGTTCATTTCTGGTGGCAAAATTATTTACTGAAGTTTTTTTGCCACATATCCTTATTATGGACATCGCTTCGCCTGTGTAGCTTTCTTGGAGGCTGTGATTGTTTCGGTAGAGTGTCCACGGCAGTTGCTTCTTCCTCGTACGATGTTGTTCGTTGTAGCAGCCGCATACAGACGAATTGAGTAGAGTGAAACTCACGAAAAATCGAGAACGACTTAGTACGTCTGCAAAGATTAAAAAATAAAAAGGAATAGCTGCTGTAGACATTTCGCTTCAATAATCGTGGCCTACAAGGTGGTGAAACTGCTGGGATGTTGATCATAATAAAGATTGGTTGCGAAGAAAAATACTTTTTAACTTCTAATGTATCAAATTTCCGTAAATGTTTCGCTGTTCAATGCCCACATGGTTTTTCTTTTCATTGAAACAGAAAACCTCCTTGACGCTTTTCAAATGTTTGTTTTTCGACAGACTGCTTATTGTCGACCGTACACAGCAACAACGACTGGATAGCGATAAGGCCGGTGTACGGTACTTGCTGGTTGCCGACGGTGTGACGGTAATCTGAGCTCGAAACGCTTTTCCAAGTGCTTTTCGTCGTCAAGTCGCATTTTAGCACACATTGGACGATGTGAGTATCGTATTACGCACACATTCTTATGTATACATATGTCTTCAAACGTAATTGCAACGACCATCATGAAGGATATTCGTGCAATTCATCCCCCAGATGAAGTAGGAAAGAAATTTTTGCACGAGACAAAATAAATATTTCGGAAAACTATTTAAAAAATATAAAACACTGTTTTAAAAAAAAAAGACTTTAGTTTTTATTTCACTTACTCGATTCAGTATCGCATGGTGCAGATCCCATCACTTCCTTCATTCAATTCGTTCTCTTTCACCCGGTCATCCGTTATGGTATTTGGATCGGAGTGTGAGATCAGCTCCTAAACCAAGATTTTGTCATCTTCATAAATGTTGGCCAAATTTAACCCACCTAGAATCCTGTAATAATCGTCCTAGGACATCCTCAGATCTTCACACAGATAGTCGGCGGAAGCCGTAGATTGGAAATAGAAAAACATTCTAGAGTTTTGTGAGGAAAATAAAAATATTCTGTTGTTCATATTCTAAAAAGGCAAGAGTCACTGTATATCACTGGTTGCAGAAAATGAAGAGAATGACGTGGACTGAATGTTCGTGACTCTAGGGTTACTGTGTGTACTCCAGCATTTGAGTATTTTAATATTTGAAGGTTCTCAAAAGCACACTACGAAAGTCGATTATTGAGTGGAACTATTGACTAGAGCGAGAGTATCGAAAATAGTTTCTACAAAGAGACTTTCCGGCGTAAACTTTACTCACACAAAAGTTTAAGACAGAGAATTGAATTTGAATAAATCTAAGCAATAACGACGTCCACAGATTTATTTCGAAGTCGTCTTCGATGGCTCCGTTGATTCACGAGAAGACGTCGATGGATTGGTAGATCTCTCTGGATTGCCTGCATCGCTGAGCATTTCGTTGAAAAATTCGTCACTATCCGGCAGTTCCATCCGTTCATTCTGAATCATTTCATTCTGAGGTTACGGTAAGCATTTCAGCGTTTCCACAGATTATGGCAGGTGCTTCAGTCCGTTACCATCTTCTATGTTAGAGCTATCATTTCGGATTATTAGGTTGGACTAGTATTTCGATCACTTTTTATTACACGAGAAATTTTATTTTTGAAATCTCAATATGTCCAGAACTGGGAATAATCAGAGGTGTTCATCTCCATCCATTGCTTCCTGCGAATAGAATAATACGAGATTAGGCATCTTCTAAGTAATAACTGAGCTAGTAGCTTAATTTAAAGGATCACTTTTAAAGCTGACAATTTCCAGCATAAGTTTTCTGTCACCTGAGATTCCCGGATAGAAATTTCGAACTCGTTTACAGCTTGGGCAACCAAGACCATATTAGGCTGGAGAAATCCGCGGCCGCAACTTCACCCCGAATGCCTAGTAGTCGTAGTGAGACAGCTACCCATTTGAGGGAATATCATTATCTAGACTACACTAAAAAAATAATCCTAACAAATGAATCAGAAAACCACTAACCATACGGACGAAGACTTTTTGTAATAAGGTGACATTCTCCTGAAGTTGTTCGATCTGAAGGCGAACAAACTGTGAACGTACAAACTCTCGTACACGCTTTAGTGCTGCCACCACAGCATTCATTTTTGCATGGGCCTGTAATAGACTTAGTATTAGCTGCAAGAAGAGCGGTAAAATTCACTTAGGGCATTTTATCTTTATGAAATTTGGAAGTAATAATTAGGAAATACAATCGCACATCATGCTGCGAACCTCTTTTAAGCCATCACGAAGCTCCAAGCTCCCGTAAAATCCACCCAATTGTTTGTCAATTTCACGAACCAAGATCTAAAAATCACAGCCCGTTTTAGAAATCATGGCAACAAAAAGAAATCTGTGCCAAATTTGACATCGGATGATTTTTCGCTGGTCGTCTTCGGCTGCGAAGTTCCCGATTTACTGCGACGTTGTGTTGCTGGACGATCGGTCTAGAATTTTTGATGGATCTATCCTGATTCATAATGTTTTACTTTTTATTTTCTGGCTACTACAGTTTTCACGGCAGGGTACTAGGCGATATACAATTACAATGTTGCTGAGATATTTGCAAAACTTTGGACCACAGGTGTCTAAAGTGGGGAACGAATGCGCTATTGCCCTTTCCGGGAAGTAGCGCGTTCACCACCACACCATGTGGGTCCTTCGTTTCGCCTGTCTCTTAGCCAGTTCTATCGAAATATCCTGATTCATGTTTAGAAAGCCTTTTCTAGATGAGGGAAAATGTGTCGTCGTTTTCGTGCTATAAAGTTGCTGAATATTTCTTTAATATCATGAGACTGATTGTTAAAGCACAAAAGAAGTGTTTGAGGTAATTCGGTGCTGAAATCTGATCATAAGAACTTTGGGCAATTTTCACGGTAGAGTATTATGCGAAATCAATCACAACGATGCTGAGATATTCGCAAAACTTGGACATCCGGAGCAGATCAAACCAGGATTTCCCTTTCCGAAGCTCGTGCTTTACACAGTGCACTAAGAATCACCTTGGTAGGCGTTCCTCTCGTTTCGTTTTCTATCTACCAGTGCTATCAGCAATCATCTGTCAACGGAATTAATTTGAGGAGCCCACTTATAAATTTGACTATGAACTTTAGTTTTCTGGTTTAATTCTTAATATTTTCTAAGTATTAGAAATTTTTTCTGGTCACTAAAATAACAAGGGCTTAGTATTTGTTTCAACAAACATTTTTTGGACATCTAAGCCGAAAATTAGTGAAAAATTTTAGTAAGTATCTTAACTCTTTTATTTACTGCCTTTTTTTTCTTCTTAATGGCAGGGTATGTTGTGAAATATAACTCGTATGAAGTGCTGAGATATTTGTAAAACTCCGGACCACAGGTGTATGCAGTGGAGAACGAACAGCGCGTGTTCGTTCCCCACTGCATACACCTGTGGTCCGGAGTTTTGCAAATATCTCAGCACTTTCTTCGAGTTATATTTTAGTAAGTATGTTTTAAATGTTGAATAAACAAACCGCCGCAGTTGAAGTAGACATGCTTCCAATGTCTTTCAATTTTTTAAGATTTTGTAGAATCTGTAAGAAAAAATTTATTCATCGGTTAGCATTTATAACGACCAGTAGCGTCATTCTAATGCAAAACATAGATATCGACAAGTCTCCATCGAGGTCGTGAGCAAATCAATACCTATTCAATAGGTGGGAGTCCCATTAACCATATTCAAATGCTAGATCTGTTATCAACGTAATCGTAAACGCTCTAGCTGGAGATAATCTCGAAAGCAATAATTCCTGAGCCGACGACTGGTTTAAGGTAGGCCGTCTATTCAGCAGTCAACAATCTACAAAAGGCTTCAATTTTTTTTTCTTGTTTGTTTTCTTTTAGAAAAACTAATGATTTTTTTTTTGGAACAATTGTTAGAGAACTTGGCGTCGTTCATTTAGTAGGAAGCATGCATTTCGTTTTTGTTCTAACCAAAAACGATTGTTTTTACGCCAACTACTGACCTAATCGATACGCATCCATATAATGGTGGTTTTGTACAGTTGTGTCACACAAGATTTCGATGTGCTCGATAGATTACCTATATTTTTCGGTTTTCGGTTTCGATAACTTTAGGCTAACGTTCACAAATTTCGTTCCGTTACGGTAGTTCATAATTTATTTTTTATTAATTTTTCTTATTTTATACGACCCGCCTTAATGTCTACTGTGCGGATACTAACAGTATAGATTAGATTCTTAGATATTATATTAGATATATTAGATATCATAATTTATAATAGATATTATTAGATTCCCTCTGGAGTCCTGAGATAGCCTGGTTGGAGCGTCCCCAATTGGGCTTCAGAGCGTGATTCTTTTCCCAGACAGGTCCGGTACCAATTTCGCGAAACCGGAGGAATGAGAGGCTTGGTTGACTCGGTGCAGAATAGAACTAACCCCATGCTCATGATGACGGACATCACTACCAATATGGTATCCGCTCCATTGATAGTTCTTAATAGAATTCACTGAAATTGAAGGCAAAAATCCAGCTCATTGTGGCCGTCACAGAGCGAACGACTGTGATAACGCGGTTTCATTCCCAGGAATCGAAGAAAATTTCCCCATAACACCATCATACCCAGATAGTCAGCTTGTCTATTACAATTCCAGTATTATTTTAGTATCCTTGTATGAGCATTAAAAGTAAGGAAGTAATTAACCTGTTTTTCATCCTGTTTGAAATTTAGACGAATTTGATCGATCTCTTGTTCCAACTGCTGTAGCAACTTATCGTAATTGTAATCCATTGTTTGAAATTCTGGAAGTGAAGTGAAGAAGTTCTTTTCGAATTGTTTCAGACGTTTGGAAAAGAAGTACAAGAAATGGTCATCAGTTTCCATTTTCCTCTCGAGAGAAATTGTCTTTTGTATTTTCCCTATGACAACCAGTAATCCCTGAAGCATCTTCGCCACTGTTCCGATTTGATGCACACTATCGTGTCTTATGCTTTTCCTCCTTACAGCTATTGCAATAATTCATTCATTTCACTGCGTAACTAGCCAAATAGTGTTATAAGGTGGTGTTTTTTTTGTAGTTCATAACGATCTAGAATCATTTTGGTTGCCTGAATCCAACAATCTTCTGTATATTAGAATATTTTATTCGAATATACACGACTGCGGAAAGCGTAGCAGTTAGCGATGTCTTGGAATCAATGCATTGCTGCTGTTCTATTCCGCTCGGAACTATCCAAAACGGTGGATGCGAGACAGTGAAACGAATGAACGAAGTGCTGAGATCTAAACAATATGCGAAATGACATTATATTAAAAGGCATAATACAGTGGGATTTGTTCATTTTACTCTATTTTATTGTTCTCTATAGAGCCGGCCGACCGACAGCCGGAGACGGTGCCGTTTTAGGAGAATCCTGGTTGGGAGGCAGCAACCTCATCCTACTTAAAGGCTTCGGTGATGAAAACCTGGGAACGTTCTAATATGGCTATGCAGGAGTCCCAAAAAAGATGCCTTTCTTTCACCATTCAGCACATCGATAAGAAAGAAGATAAAACATCCTTAAGCTCTAGACAAACTCACAGTAGAATCAAGCCAGCTTTATGAGAATCACGGGAGAACGAAATTGACGAAACAAATGCTTTGATCCTTGCAACGTATGATGATGAAACTTAAGAACTAAAAGAAATGGACAGAAGGAAAAAAAAGTAATAAAGGAAAAGAAGAACTCATCACTAACACAACTACTCGCAAGCGTCACTGTTATGAGAATAACTCGAAATAACATGTGTTGATAAAATGACAGCTCCTCAATCAATTATTATCCGATAATATCCTCTATCAGTCTAAATTTGATGATACTCATAGATCCATTTTCACTTCTAACCACCGTTTTGATCGGCTGGCACTGATGGGATACTATCAGGTCAAGCATTTTCCTACATTACTCGAGACCACATCTATCACGTTGTCCGGAATTCACGAATACCTTCGAATTTTTCAAATTTTCATTTTGTGTTTGACAAAGGGTTAAAGCATGTTTCCTTTACTTGTTCAAATATGTCCTCAACCTAAGCCTAGTCCACTTTGCTTTCCTGAAGAATGGCTTTTCTTCACTCCGTTCAAATCGGATGCACAAGTGTGCCGCCACAGATACACAGTAGTACAGAGCACAGCATGCAATGATATTGGCAAAGCATGCATTCAATACACTTAGTTCGTTAAGAATGGAATCGAATGGAAAGCATTTCCCTAGGTTACCGCTCACCTTTGGAAGCCATTTCTTCTTCCTCTTTTTATTTTAGCAGATCTTAGCTTTTTGATCACTTTTACCTGCCGTTTCCTTCTATGAAAAACGCCATTATTTTCAGAAACTCGCTTGGTGGGATATATGGACTTCGCCAATTTGTCTTCTATGGTTCTTAGCGTTGTGTTACCTATTTTCAATGGCATTTATTCGTCCATTCATGATTCCAAAAAAAAGTGCAAAAGTGGTCAGATATCTCTTTTTTGTCGTTTTTAGTTGCTTTGCTGGCATTCTTTTTCTTAACGATGAGAAGATCCTTCAATAACATTTCCACTTTCGCGCTGAAGCTGCCTTTTTTGCAAGAGGCGGTAATTTATCTGTTAATAGAGACAACATTAACCGCATACACCTCTCGTAAAACACATTTTTTAAACCCCAAATTTGTCCAGAGATAAAATTCTCAGAAATCTGAAACAAATTTAAACATATAAAGGTTGTCATACAAGCACGACCACCGCAAGAACGAACGATACCTCGGAAACACCGTCAGGTTCTGCTGGACGAAATCCCGCTTTTCCAACCGTTTTCTGCTTAAAGTGCCCATCAGCTCTAGAAAATCAGGATATTGATTTGATAGAGTAAAAAGATCTGCATCTATAAGAAGATACTGGCAAATTTTAATAACTTTCAGTGAGAGGGTAACCAGGTGATATTGTGATGCCGCTCGTCACAAGCGCGGCTCCGGATCGACCCCGCTCAGGCTCACTAGACCTGTCATATGCGGTTGGAAAACTGGTACCGAAGTTGCCTGGAAACAGCTAATTTTCTAAAATCCAAGTGGGAATGCTCTAGCACTACTATGTCAGGACTCCATGGAGAATCGACTCGATCACCATTTAAAGACGCTCATGACGAAGCGAAAACCATCAAGCAGTAGCATGGATGCGACGAAACGAATCGAATACAGGAATCGGTGGGATCCGTCCACTAAGTGACGCTGAGATATATAAAAAAATGTATTTTATTGAAGTTAATGTAGCCCAATACTTTCTCATTTTAATTTTACCAAAATGATGTTGAGATATTTGTAAAACTCCGGAATGCCGGTGGCTGCGGTGGAAATCGAACAGGCTACTACCCTTTCCGGGAGCTAACTTGTTCACCACCACATCATGCATGTCCTTCGTTTCGCCGTTTTCTCAGCTATCTTCCAGTTCCATCATCAGTCACCCACCAACAAGATTGACCTGGGAGGCACAAATCGCCATTGAACCTAGTTAAGCTGAGGCTGTAGTTGAAATCACAGTGTTAACTTTTTATTAGTGCCTAATGCAATTTTATAAACACTAGTTAGAAAACTAAAAAACTGAAGGAAAGGCGAAACGAAGGACCCGCATGGTATGGTGGTGAACGTTTTAGCACCCGAAAAAGATAGTAGCATGTTCAACCCCACCGCAGATACCGAGAGTCCGGAGTTTTAAAAATATCTCAGCACCATTGTGGTTATATTTCATATTATACCCAGCCATGAAAAAAGACTAAGCATTGAATAAGAAATAATTACAGCACTTTAATACAGTTCAATATGAGTTGGAGTAAATATGCACCGCCGCGAATGTGTTAAAGTGAAGATACAGAAAAACGTTATAATTTTATTTTTTTGTTTAAGCCATTCCTTCTCTGGAACGAAGAGCAACCAAGAGATCCGTTTGAATTATCGTCAAGCATTCAAGATTAATCCGAACGATAAATTTTTGCTTGTTGGTTTTGTTCTTGTTTTTCTTTTAGAATTTTGTGACCATTTTTATGTTAACGAAGAAGTTTGCCAAGGTTAAAAAGTGATCTGAAACTATATAAAGCCTATAAATATCAAAATTTAGCAGTATTTTTCTCGTCATTTTCTTTCTCAGCAATAGCGTGGTCGTTTAACAGCATTCGTTTACTTCCATACAATAACACGCTTACAACACAATCGTAGCTGACGTTTAGGCAGAATCGCCTTCTTCACAGTCGCTTTCTCCACCTGTCTTCCACTGAGAGAGAACAGTCGCTCAAAGTCTCATATGGTTGATGACTGCTCCGAAGAAGGCGATTCCGCCGAAACGTCAGCTCCGGTTGTGTTCCGTGCATGTTATTGTATGAAAGTAAACGCATGCTTCGAAAGCAACCAATGCTATCTTTTTGTCCAAACATCTCTGTGCTCTCGTTCCAGTTTGATGGCTCAAACCTGGATAATTAAACATAATAAAAAACAACTGAGTAAAAGGTAGAGTTCCAAAACTTGGGATCGCTTCCAGGTGCGCATTTACAAACCTCCATACTCCTGCGGATCACCCGCGCCAGATAACCTCGATCTCCATCGAGCCCGAAGTCAACGTTAAGGTTACCCAAGCTAACTGAAGAAGCAGAGGTAATTGAACTTAAACGTATGCTGTTTAACTACCTCGCGATTGCTGAGAAAGAAAGCGACGAATTTATAACCCAATGCGGAGGTTAATAGAAAGTCGATACTGGGAAGTATTTTTATAGTAAAGAACAAATGTCGATTTGTTTAGGGTGGTTTAACAGTAACTAGACAGTAATAAGCTTCCTTGATGAAGCTGGTTTATTGATTAATATTAAGAGCATAATAGTAATAAATCTACCAGACGATTTAGTAGCTGAGAACTGTGTAAAATTTTTTCCGAAAAGGTTAATTGCAAAGTGATCTTTGGAAGCGCAGAAAATGAACAACAGAGGATCACCTCTTGGAATACGTTCATAACTGAACTGTGAGCCAGGTATGGGGTAGGGAACGCCCACTTTGCGCGAGTTTCACCGATCCATTAGAGTAATCAAGAAATACTGTGGTTCTTCATGCACTCTTCTGAGCTGTAAATGTGAATAAGAAAAGTAAATGCTTTGAATAGACAACAGTAATTCAGAAGGAGGCATAACTCTATATTACCACACGTCTCAAATTTTTTAGGTCACTGGTTTGAACAGGCCAGTGACTTTTCCTCAATGCTGCTACCAATTCTACCGCTTATGACAACATTTCAGATATTCATGATGTTTCTATGATTCAAAGATTTGGTGTAAAGCTGTAGTATAGTACTACACTGTTTACTGTGATCAGCAGGTATTCCTGTGTAGGACGCTTCTAAACCAATATAAGCTGCTTGGAGGTGTTCTCATCACTGTTGAGCGTTTCGTTAGAATAAGTGGATATCTATTTGCAAAGTCCATCTCCTGCATTTTTTGTTCTATCCAAGTTTCTCCAAGTGGTGATTCTTTTTAGAAATTGTCACGATAACATGTTTAGGCAAGCAGGCTACGAGGTAGTTACCAAGCTCATGTATCTGGCTTTTTGTACGACAGAAGAATGAGTGAAATTTTATGCTAGTTAAATAATAAAGCGTAAAAGATAGAGCGTTCGGCGTCGACCAATCCTTGAGTGATGTCCATGCAAGCAACTCCATTCGCAATATCGTAGAGGTGGCTTAGTGCACATTTTATCAACGCAATTGCTTGTGTGGACCTACCAATTCATCAAGTTAATGCTTCTATTTTATACGAGGCGTCTGCTACCAATTTACCTACAGTGGAAGCGAATGACTTGTTTAGCTAAGCGTATAAGATTAAGCGGACGACCATGTTTGTATTGAGGGATACGTCAAGAAACTGCGCTACAAGAGCTTGTAACTAATAGGACATGCGTTCGATTTATAGATAGAATATTGTATATGGTCATGTAGATGATGCACTTGACAGTCCTAAGCCATAATATGCAGCCTTGCTTGCTTCTAACGTCATTCTAATTGACCTATCGGCATAGAAGGCCTTCTTCTTGTTGAGATTACGCGCCTTATTCTATTCCGGCACATAAATTCTTTTCACAGTGCTTCTAATAAATCGTAAAATATGGACGAAACCACTCGGCCAGACGGGTAGATCCATGTTCTCCCCTTTACTGTGTTTATGTTTATAGGCACAAAATGTTAATAAACCTAAAGATCGATAGTGAAAGTGTGTGAGCAAACCAACTACAGTAACACGACAATTGTTGGCGGCTCATAACGTCAGTGTTATCATTCTATCGTCTCAATGTGCTCTAATCACAACTGCGATCATGAACTTTCCTCTTATTGGTAAGTGACAGCCGTATGAAAAAAAAGTAAGGAGATTAAAAAATCGGAAACTTACCAGGAAAGTAAATATATGTGACAACGTTATACCCTGTGTGGCGCAGTGGTCGGAGGCGCCCTGCAACACACACGTGGAATCAATCCTATGCCCATGGCCCACCAAGCCTTCCATCCCTCCGAGGTAGAAAAATTGGTACCAGACTTGTCTGGGAGGATAGCAGCACTGACTCGATTCATCGGTAGGTCACTGTGCGAGTCATCAAAGGCCAGATATGCATTCAATCACCTGCAGACGATGGTTAATGAAGTCGAATACATGGCGCATCCCGGAGGGATTGATCAACGCCGAGAGCTTTAACCTTTTTTTATTATGCTCACCTCATAGCAATCGTACAAATTCAAAAAAATGAAGTTTTGGAAGAGTTATAAAAGACCATAATTCAATATTCTAAATGAGTACGATTAGCGCAAACCACACAGAATGCGTGGCATCCATCGATTGTAAGTGATGTGGCTGTGATTGAAGCTTGAGAAAAACATTTAAAAAATACATGAATCATGTAAAAAATCAATGAAAACCCAGTGGTGAAAGCGGTAGTAATTTATTTCCAGTTGTGAAGTTTGCTTTGTGGAAGTTCCTAACGACAATCAGTCAACGGATGCGCAATGATTCCATCCAAAAACTCGTTATTGTTCTGTATTTCCATACTATCTACTTAGAAGCAAGTATGAATTTAATCATTTACTTCCTATTACTTTTTGATCGAAGGTCATAATTGTTCTTTTTCCATCAGCTACACGTTGATCGCTTTATATTCGCCATCTTAGCACATAGTATATGGGGAAGAAATACAACCACAACGGTGATGAGATATTCGTAAAACTTGGACCGCTGGCCAGATCGAACCACGATTTTCCTTTCCGGAGGCTTGCGCATTACATATTGCGCCACGGAGGCCCTTGCTCTGCGTTTCTCTCAGTTGCTTTTCCAGATAATGCTGCCAAAAGTAATCATCCAATAGGGGATCGATCTCGGGAGCACAAATAGGCAATGAAGACAGTTCAGCTGAGGCTGTAGCAGAAATCGCAATGAAAAAAAATCGCGAAAAAATCGAATCGCAGAATCCTTTTATTTTCTGGTACTGAACGCCCCTTACGGATCTCTCTCGTAGAGCGATCTTATGCCGGTTAGTGGTGAGGCAACGTGGCACGTTATCATTTGGCAGATAGGGGCTAATCCCGAAACAAAGGTGACATTTGTTTCTTTGAGACGCAGATGGGTCCAGAGGATGGACTCCCTCTTTCTGTTGCACCGATTCTGCGCACACCTGCTGTACTTACGATTCACACATGCGTGCATGGGCATGTTCTCGTTTATGCGGGTTGTATTCTACGAACGATTAGGCCAAAATCGTACAATCGAGTGACAGGGAAGTACACAGCAGGCGGTTAATAGTTGCCTCCCACAAACAAGCTCCTCATCTACTCAGGGTGGCACTGGCGAGCTACCTTTGGGTAACCTTACTCCCACGTTCAGGGCTCAGCAAGCTATGCGTGGGTATCGAAAGGTTAAACACAGTAAAATAAACAAATCTCATTTCCTTTACCCTGAAGGAGCCCCAAATTCGGAGCGTAGAGTAGGACGAGTACGAAAACGCTACTAAAATTTCAGGTCCATTCTGGGCTGTCTAAATCGCAAAAGACTGAGCTGACGAACTGCACCTGTGCACACACACCTGCATCTGAGTCCTCAATAGACTTGCTCATGCAAGCACGAAAGGTAAGGTACGACGTCATCGGACTGGTGGAGACGAGAAGACGCTACCCATTCAACGCCGTCCTTGACACAGGAGGAGAACTGACCATCGAAATATGTAACAGTACAGGAGTCAGCGGCGTGGATGTTCTGGTCAACACGAGTTTGGCCATGAACATCAATTCATTCGAGCAAGCTAACAACCAGATTAGTACGGCTACGATTTAAGAGATGTGGATCAATACCATCTTTGACAGTCTTCGTCGTTTACGCACCAATATCAAGCTATGATGAATACGAAGTCAAAACGTTCTATATGGACTAGGAGAAGTTCTATAGAGGATATCATACATTCTCCAAGGCATCATTGGAGATTTTAATTTTAAGATGTGATCCAGAAGACTGTCTGAACAACGTCACACTAGGACCCGCCGACTAGAATGGAACGAACAGGGTGTGAGCGGCTGCCCCAGTTTATAATGACGATAAAGACCATCCGTGGTAACTCACAATTCCACAGGCCCCATCGTCAACGTTGGACATAAGAGCCCCCTAATGGAGAGTCCTATAACGAAATAGACTGGAACAGACGTCATAGTAAATAGGCTTTGCCTTGCAGATGTCGCTGTTGTCCCAAAATTCTACACGGGTCATACCATCGCTTCCTTCGTGCAAAATTCTATTTCTCGCGAGAAGGAGAAAAAGCCGCTAAATTCAAAAACCAAGTCCCAGAACCACCATAAACTGGGACTTATTCAATTCATTAATCTGCTGTTGGGAAGATGTCGTTGTCGATAACATCGACGAAAAATACGATCGGCGCATTCAACATCTTCACGTTTGCGCTATGAAAGCTGAGAGTTCGAAAGCCACCAAGAGACGTCTGTCTCCAGAAACACTCGAGCTGATACGCCAGTGTGAAATCGCACGAACTGCGGGCAACCGCAAACTCATGTGCGAACTTGCAAAACAACGCAGACAGGCTATAAAAGAAGATCTTAAAGAGAAAAGTTTAGATATTATGGTTAAAGTTGCAGAGATGAGGAAGATCACTTGCAAAGCCCACCGAAGCCTCGCCAATTACAAAACCAAGATGATTGCACGCTGGCGCCCTGACGGAACAATTACGGCGTCCAGAAAGGCAATTCACGAGTGCTACTCAGATCTCTTCAACAGCCATGTCCTCCTGTGAAATAAAGAAGGATGGATACTTAAATACCACTAGTTTTCCCTTCCGAAATTCGACACGCTATTTCGCCGGTGAAGAATCGAAAAGCATGAATGCTGGATATGATATGATCTGAACACCGAAAGAACGTTCCGAAGTTTTGGTAAGCACACTGATTCGACTCATCACAAGCTACCTGTCAGAATGCAATGTTCCTGTTCAGTGGAATACCACCAGCGTTGTTCAAGAAGGGTGACCTCCTCAATGTCGGCAACTAACGTCCAGTTTCATTGTATTCTTTTTTATTTACTGACTACTACAATTTCTACGGCATAGTGTTAAATGAACCACAACGATACTGGGATATTTGCTAAACTCCGGACCGCAGGTGTCCACGGTGAGGAACGAACGCGCTATTACCCTTTCCGAGGGCTAACGCATCACCACGCCAAGCGGGTCCTTCGTTTCGCCGTCTCTCAGTTAGTTCCATCGATCAGTGTCATCCATATCTGGCGTTTAGAATAACCCGCGGTGCACTATCGAGCCAGAGCCGCTATCCTCCGAGACAAGCCTAGTACCGATTTGCCGACTGGGCTTGGTGGGCCATGGGCGCGGAGATCGATCCCACGTGTCTGTCGCAGGGCGCCTCCGACCACTGCACCACACGCGCCCTTCTGAAGAAAATAAATACAAAAGATATTTTGTCCTTTATGCCGACCTCACACCATTAAGAAAAAATCACTACTGATAAGTCAGCCTTGTGACTTAAACATGAACTGGGCAAACATCTCTCATATATTTCGGTTTCTCTTAGTCAAATGTTCCTTTATAGAACTTTCTCATTAAGCAAACACTTCGTAGCCCTAAACAAATTGATAGCTTGGTCGACTGATCAATAGTTCCTAAAACACCATATTATTTTTTGTTCATAAACTGAACCAATTCGATTAATGAGGAAGTGGGCGCATTATTTTTTAAATATGTGATTCGGACTATTTACTAAACGGCTTTAGAAAAATAGAGGGACTAATTTCTTTTGCGCGCGACTGAACCATTAACACATTGCACTCCAGTGGTGCTTAACTACACTGCGCTAAAGGCTTCCTCATCGATTATGTGGTTTCCTCATCAATTAAAATAACAATAGCAACATCTTATTGGAGTGAAGAACTCAAACACAGCTTCGTCGTCAGACTAATCCAATCATATTACTGAATCTCACTGAGTTTCATTGCAACAACTATGCGACAATGGGACCACATGCCAATGATAGCCAAAAGCTGGCAGGTTTCTATGGTGACCACAACGATGGCATCAGTTCAATTGAATTCAGTTCGTCTACACTTCCACACACTTGCCAATTTCTAGTAGTAACAGCTGTCCTTTCTTCTGCTCATAGTCTTAAAACTGATTTGATTAAAGAAAACCCCTCCAACAATCATCAGCTAGCAATGAGTGCTGAATTCAAAGATGAGGTTACTTCGTTTCTAATTGAAAAGCTTCGTGACACTGAAGTGTTCAAGTTTATCCAGGTACTGAGTGTTTCATTCGCTTTCGTTTCTTACACCAGCTACTACTGCACTAATAACAAAACTACTTTAAAACAAAAAGCAGCAAAATAATAGGCGTCAAACTAAGGAAAAGATAAGCTATGGTTGATTTTAGTGCCATTTCTGTCAGGTGCTTAGCAGTCGGCTGCCTTCTTCAAATAGCGCACCTGTTAGTCGATTCATTTCGTTGCCTTGCAACCGGCATCCATACAGATGATCGGGTTTGGAAGTGAACTGAGCCTTAACTTGAAGAGCAACCTTTCCCCATGCTTATTGAATTCTGGTAGAGCATGGTTTTTCCTTGGAATCCTACAATGTTGTGCTAGAGTGTTCTCAGGTCGTCACCAGAGCCATTCGCCAACTTTTGTGGATTACACCCGGTTTGTTGCCTTTCGACTATTGTCCTCGCTGTACATTAGGGAACCCTGCTGTTAGTCGATTGTGGAAGAAGCCGAATCAGTATAGAACAATTTTTCCAAGTTTTTAAAGAACCTCACAGAATGCAGAGCATTTTCTTATTTAACTAATAGCTTATTAGCTGAGAAGGTCGATTTTTTCATGAATTCTTGAGTTGGTTGCGCCAAGGCGTCCCTGGTTCTCATCAACAGTAGTCGATTCCTCTCTTATGAAGGTTCACGCCCGTACATGGGCCTTATTTTCCTATGACAGAAGGTTCCTTACACATCCTTAACTGGTTTTCACCATGAAAACAACGATCTTTCTAGGCTTCAGTGACTCCTGCTGGAGGGTGAGTCTCTTCCTAATGCATCGGAGCTGTGCATTTGAGGCAACTCTCTGAATACGGTGAAACGGTAATTTGTTGTCTAGTAATAAAACCATATCGCGTAAGAATAAAGCGTTCGTAATTGATCAGTTCCCAAGGATGACATTCGAACTTTTGACAGCATAATAGAGGCAAATGAATGTGTACATGGCCTTTATAATGCCGGAAGCATACGAAGGATACACGACATTATTCCTAGACAAATTCGATACTAATTTGCCAACGTCCTAGGAATGTGGAATGGAATCCAACCAAAGACCACGTTTGTATTGCAGGTTGCCTCTGACCACTGAGCTACTTGCACCTTAACAATATAGTATGCATTGTTTCAACAAAACGCCTGTAGCTCTTTTTACGCTCATTTTTAAGGTTTTCGCTCAAGGGATATATATATACATTACTTATTATACAGCGCGACGTCACACGTATCATAATATACGGATCCCATCACATCTCGTGTTCTATTCATTTCATCGTGTCCACTATCGCCAAAGGTTTTCGAACTTCTTCAGCTTGGGTTTGGCTGCTGCTTGAGGATTTTCCATTGGTCGTGAATGTCATTAAATAGTGGTCGAGTCGAATCACCGCGGAGTCCTGAGATAGATGGTCTTGAAGGTTTATACTTCCATTGCAGAAGGTGGCTTGTTTCCAGATAGTCTGGTACCAATTTCCCAACTCTGGAGGGATGAGAGACTTCTTAGGTACATAGCAGGATCGAATCAGGATTTCGGCAGGCTGGGCAGTCCGACTAATGAACGACATCACCAACACTGCGCCATCCGTTCGTTCCATCAAGCGCTCTATATAAAGTTTAACGTTTTGATTTCTGCCTTCTATAATTTTCAAGGCAGGTTACTAAGCGAAATACAACCACAACGTTGCTGAGATATTTGCAAAACTCTGGACCGCAGGTGTCTATGGTGATGGCGCTCCCCAGATCAACCCCGCTGACGGGTGATCGCTGTGGCAAAAAAATGGGTAGAAATAGCTGAGAGACAGGCGAAACGAAGGACCCGCATGGTGTGGTGGTGAACGCGTTACGCCCCTGAAAGGATAATAGCGCGTTCGTTCCCCACCATAGACACCTGCGGTCTAGAGTTTTACAAATATCTCAGCAACCTTAACTCTTTAATTTACTGCCTTTTTCTTCTTAATGGCAGGGTATGTTGTGAAATATAACTCGTATGAAGTGCTGAGATATTTGCAAAACTCCAGACCACAGGTGTATGCAATGGGGAACGAACACGCGCTGTTGTCCTTACCGGGGA